ATCCAGTTTCATTTTCCTGCATGTAGCTTGCCAATTATCCCAGCACCACACTGAACAGACCAATAACAAGCAGTGAGATTGAAATGGTGATAAAAAATATTACCACCAACAACAAAAAAGTCCATGACCAGATGGATTCAAAGCCGAATTTTACCACACAAGCAAAGAAGAATTGATACCAATCCTATTGACGGTATTTCACAAGATAGAGTAAGAGGGAAGCCTCCCTAAGTCATTCTATGAAGTCAGTATTACCCTAATTTCAAAACCAGGAAAGGACATAGCAAAGAAAGAAAACTACAAGCCAATATCCCTGATGAACATGGATGCAAAAATCCTTAGCAAAATACCAGCTAACCGAATCTGACAGCATATCAAAAAGATAATCCATGATGATCAAATGCATTTCACACCTTTTTCACAACATGGAAACATCAATGATTAGAAGCATTGTACCATTTGGTGTCTCAAATTGCTGCAGTCTGAATTTATCCACAGTCTGTTCTATGTCCACTGGGTTGGCATTATTTATTTTTCATGGCTTCTGCCAACAATGTTTCAACAAAGACACATGAGGGTTGAAGACACTTCATTCACAAACAATGGCAGAAAAGATGGTAAAATACTCCTGATATCTTTATGTGTTGCTTTTAGTTTAGAGTACCTTTAACAAAAATGGACATTTTTAAGTATTTTTAAGAACATGACATTCCAAGGAAAAACAGTCTATGTTTTATTTTACCACATTAAATTAGATTAAATATGTAAAGTTTTCATATTGTGTATTTTGATGTTAGTCTCATATTCTATTTATTTTATTATAGGGGGAGGAAGTAATTGGGAATTACCCTATGGGGACCCAATTTACTGAAAGTTTCCTGATTGTTAAAATAGAAAATTAGAAGATAGAATTACCCACCTACTTTTACACTGAGGCATCATGTGTTTTAGTCCCTAGTCATCTGACCCCAATGAGTATAATCAAGCCATTGCTGTTCTTAGCAGAGAAGTACATTTTCTTTTTCTTTTTCTTTTTGAATTACAAAACAGTGCGGAGAAATGTTGGAATCTGTCAGCAATGTCACTAGCTCCAGTTTTTTGTTTTTTTTTTCATTTCAATGCTTTTGACCTCTTCATATAGATAGGCCATCCTTGAATAGAATATATTCTCTCTACTTTTACCCATAGTGCACAAAAGGAACAGGAATTTATGAGAGATGACCTTCATGACTCTAGATCCCAAAAGACTACTTCAGCTGCCCAATTAGACAGCCTTGGAGCTATTTTCAAGGTCAAACTTACTTGTTTCTCATAGGGCTCCCCATCCCACACCACACACACAATAATAGAAGGAAATGGTAAATAAAAATAAAAATAAAAAGTTTAAGCAAGTAAATTCCTAGGTAACAAAGGTAAGGGGAAAGCATACAACAATAAAGTCCTCAAAAGTCTTTTCTTTCATTTGCAACTCAGAAAGCAGCATTAAATAAAAAACTCATGCAATTATTTGATTTTCTAAATTATTTTGTATCAAAAAATTAGTGATTAATAAATCCAAACCCAAACTCAGCAGAAGTAAGGAAATAACGAAGCTTAAAGAAGAACTAAATGAAATTGAAACAAACAAACAAAAAATACAAAAGTTAAATGACACAAAAACTGGTTCCTTGGAAAGATAAATAAAATTGACAGACCACTAGTGAGATTAACCAAGAAAAAAAGACGATCCAAATAAGCTAAATTAGAAATGAAATGGGAGATATTACAACTGATATCACAGAAATACAAGTGATTATTCAAGGCTACTGTAAACATCTTTATGTGCATAAGCTATTGAATTGGTGCAAAAGTAACTGTGGTTTTTGCCATTAAAAATAATGGCAAAATGCCATTATTTTTAATGGCAAAAACCACAGTTACTTTTGCACAATAGAAAACCTAGAAGAGATGGATAAATTACTGGAAATGTACAACCCTCCTAGATTAAATCAGGAATATATAGAATCTCTGAACAGATCAATAATAACCAGCGAAATTGAAATGGTGATTAAAAAAATTGCCAATGAAAGCAAGCCCAGGACCAGATGGATTCACAGCTGAGTTCAGTCAGACATTCAAAGAATTGGTACCAATCCTATTGACACTATTCTAAAAGATAGAGAAACAGGAAATCCTCCCTAAATCATTTTATGAAGCCAGTATCACCCTAATACCAAAACCAGGGAAGGACATAACAAAAAAAGAAAACTACAGTCCAATATCCCTGTATTATTGGGGATGCAAAAATCCCCAACAAAATACTAGCAAAATGAATTCAACAGCATATCAAAAAGATAATCCACCAGGATCAAGTGGGTTTCATACCAGTGATGCAGGGATGGCTTTAACATACATAAATCAATAAATGTGATACATCACATAAACAGAATCAAAAACGAAAATCACGTGATTATCTTAATAGACACAGAAAAAGCACTTGACAAAATCCAGCATTCCTTTATGACTAAAACCCTCAGCAAAATCGGCATACAAGGGACATACCTCAATGTAATAAAAACCACCTATGACAACCTCACAGCCACCATGATACTGAATGGAGAAAAGTTGAAAGCATTCCCCCTGAGACCTGGAACAAGACAGGGTGCCACTCTCACCACTTCTATCCAACATAAGTACTGGAAGTCCTAGCCAAAGCAATCGGACAAGAGAAAGAAAGAAAGGGCATTCAAATAAGTAAAGAGGAAGTCAGACTGTCACTGTTTGCTGATGTATGATTGTAAAGTTAGAAAACCCTAAAGACTTCTCCAAGAAGCTCTTAGAACTGATAAATTAATTCAGCAAAGCTTCAGGATACATAGTTAATGTACACAAATCGGTAGCTCTACTATATACCAACAGTGGCTATCAAATCAAGAACTCAACCCCCTTTACAGTAGCTGCAAAACAATAAATAAAATACTTAGGAATATATCTAGCCAAGGTGGTGAAAGACCTCCACCTCTACAAGGACAACAACAAACACTGCAGAAGGAAATCACAGAAGACACAAACAAATGGAAACACATTCCATGCTCATGGATGGGTAGACTCAATATTGTGAAAATGACCCTACTGCTAAAAGCATCCTACAAATTCAATGCAATTTCCATGAAAATACCACCACCATTCTTCGCAGAACTAGAAAAGAAATCCTAAAATTCACATGGAACCAAAAAAGAGCCTGCATAGCCAAATCAAGACTCAGGAAAAAGAATAAATCTGGAGGCATCACGTTACCTGATTTCAAACTGTACTGTATGGCCATAGTCACCAAAACAGCATGATACTGATATAACAATAGGCACATAGACCAGTGGAACAGAATGGAGAACCCAGAAATAAACCCAAATACTTACAGCCAGTTAATCTTCAACAAAGCAAACAAAAACACGAAGTAGGGAAAGGACACTCTCACTTGTATGGGACCTAGAGTGAATGAATGCATATCGCATTTGTAGGGATGACCCTTTGTGTCTTGTACCCTTTAACAGATATGGCAAGGCATGCACCTTTGTGGGACAAACTGTTCTTTTTTCAAGTCATCCTTTTAGCATTCAATTACAAGAAGAAAATGGTCAAGCAGCCATAAGAGTTCTGTATTGTTTAATCCATCCATCTCCTTTTCTGGCTTCTGGCAAGGGAGGCTGCTGTACTGCTTCTCTCCTACCACTCAGTAGACTGATGGAAGCAGGAAGTTGAGTGCTGTCCCTGCCATTGCCATCAGAAATCTTGTAGCATCTGACAGACTGAGAAAGATTGCCTGTCTCTCGGTGAGGCCTGCATTGTTGACAGTGTCCGGCCCGAAGGCCCCAGCACTGGTTCAATGTTGTTATTGGCAACATGATTGAGAGGGAAGCTAGACAGTCTGTCAACTTGGCCTTCACAGGGCTATTAGAATGAAGCAAGAGATAAAATGTATTTTGTTTTCAACAAGGCTCTATGTCTGTCTTACATGATCGACTCCAAAACATACCACGAAATATGGCTTCTTCTTATCCCTACTTTCAGGCGAGGTGGAAGTAAAGAACTGAGTGTAGCCGGATGCGGAAGCTTAGCCTGTAATGCCAGCACTTTGGGCAGCTGAGGCAAGAGGATTGCTTACATCCAGGAGTTCAAGACCAGCCTGGGCTACATAGTGAAATTCTGTCTCTACAAAAAATAAAAAAACTAGCTGGGCATGGTGGCGCATGCCTGGAGTGCCAGCTACTTGGGAAGCTGAGGTGGGAGGATCACATGAGCCCTGGAGGTTGAGGGTGCAGTGAGCTGTGATCACAGCACTTGCACTCAGCCTGGGTGACAGAATGAGACTCTGTCTCAAAAAAAAAAAAAAAACACCAAAACTGAGTGTTAATTTTTCCTGAGTAGTATGATGCTACTTTCTCTGAGATCACTATTTGTGGTAGATAAGATAATGCCCCCATGCCTCAAAGATGCCCCTGACCTAATCTCTGAACGTGTGAATATGTTGTTATGTTATATGGCAAGGGGAAATGCAGGTTGCATGAAAGGGTGTCTAAGTATAATTCAGTATGGAATAGAAAACTCATTCAGATCACAGGGACAGTTTCCATTCAGGTTGCAAACAGAATTAAGGTTATTAATCAGTTGACTTTAAAATAGAGCATCCTGGATTATCCAGATAGGCTCAATGTAATCACAAGGGTCCTTAAGTGTGGAAGGGGAAGGTAGAAAAGTCAGAGTGGCTGAGAAAGACTCAGCTGGCCATTGCTGGCTTTGGAGATGGAAGGGTGTCTGAAGTCAAGGGATACGTGGAGCCTCTGACAGCTGGAAAACACAAGAGAAAGGATTTACCCTTAGAGCCTCTAGAAGGAATGCAGCCTTGCTGACACCTTGATGTTAGCCCAGTAAACCCATTTCAGGCTTCTGACCTCTAGAAATATAGGATAATTAATTTGTTTCATTTTAAGCCACCAACTTTGTGGCAATCTGTTACAGCAGCAATAGGAAGCATATACTCTACTTTTCATTGGATCCTTGAATAATGGTCAGTGGTTAAAGTGCCTTTCTGTGCCTATGGAAGACATTAGCGTACACGATAGCCGGGGAATTCATAACTCCTGAGTGGGGATATTACCCCATGCCTCATGTTCTGTCGAAACCATATTAAAGCCACACTGCTTGTCTAGCCTTATACCAGAGGGACTTATCTAATTGGTGAGGCTGAATAACAATTACTGAGCATGCTCTGTTCATGTGTTAATTTATTTACTGAAGGTTTTGTGGCCTTGCAATTTGGGCAAGGTTCAGCTGAGATTGTTCATCTCCATTTGTGTGGTGTTTGTTGGGTTCATTCACGTATTTGTGGTCACTTGGCATGTTGATTGGTGTTGGCTGATCCTGGATGATGTCATTTACAGGCCTAGCAGTTGGCTGAAGTGTCAGCTGGGGCACTTTGGTTTTTATCCATAAGGCCTTTCCACTGATTTAGCTAGCTTGGGCTTCCTCACTTGGTGGGTGAATTCCGAGAAAGGGAATGCAGAGGTCACTTGACTTAGACCTTAAGCGACAATGGAAAGCAGCAGAATGATGGTAAGCAATTTCTGTTAAGCTCAGAAATTGCTTACCATTGGCAGGGCGCGGTGGCTCACGCCTGTAATCCCAGCACTTTGGGAAGCCGAGGCGGGTGGATCACGAGGTCAAGAGATCGAGACCATCCTGGTCAACACGGTGAAACCCCGTCTCTACTAAAACTACAAAAAATCAGCTGGGCATGGTGGCGCGGGCCTGTAATCCCAGCTACTCAGGAGGCTGAGGCAGGAGAATTGCCTGAACCCAGGAGGCGGAGGTTGCGGTGAGCCTAGATCGCGCCATTGCACTCCAGCCTGGGTAACAAGAGCGAAACACCATCTATAAAAAAAAAAAAAAAAAAAAAAAAAAAAGAAATTGCTTACCATGAATCTACTGCTTTCCATTGGCCAAGGCAAGTGATGGGAGCAGTAGCAACCCCACATTGCCAGGGGGCATACATGTAGGGAGGCATTTTAGCAATGATTTTTAAGGCCTTACACTCTCTGTGGCTCCCTTTCTTAGGTTAGATGGCCTGAAGCTGGCATACATTCTTCTTTCTTTTCCTGCCTCTTTCACGTGGTGAGTCTGCCAAGGCACGCTCTGCCTTCAAGAGGAAAGTCTTGCAGTTGTTTAGCAGCTGTGACCATGAAAAGGTGGCTAAGTATAACTCAGTGTGGAATAGAAAACTCATTCAGATCACAGGGACAGTTGCCATTCACCCGTCCAGGTAGCCAGTAGTACCGATACTATTAGGACCTCTGTCTGATTCCTTTGTATACCTCTCAATTGTTTGAGAACATGGAAGGGAGAAGGGCATGATTAAGTAATGCCTCAATAACTCATCAATAACCACCGGAAGGAGAGAGAGAAATAACCAATGACAAGAAGGGGGAAAGTTCAGGAAGGACAAAACTGGGACATTATTCTAAAAGTGAAGGTATGCATTCTACCAATATAAATGAGGAAATAGGATGCACAAGGAAAATGGCCTTTGCCATCCTTATGGACTAACTATAATATGTCCAACAATTAGGATGTTTAAAAAATGTTGACAAAATTCTGGAAAGCATTTCCTGGTTTTGCATTTACCTTCTGGTGAAGTCATTTTTGCCCTGTAGTTGATATTTGGACAGTTCTCCTGAGACAGCAATGGGGCATAATATAAACTGTCATACAATCATTTAGACATGTCAGTTCTCTCTACATCATCTTTTTGTAGACACCCGAAAGAAAGATATTGCACATACACATAAACAGACATGTTTTCACTATTGTTGCTGAAGCAATTGATAATGGAAACAAGAAATGAAGGGTCTCTGAAGATGGGTGAGATTTTTTTCAGTTCAATTCAGTTAGTGAAGTCCATTTCAGTTCTGAACTTAATCCAGAAGTTGTCTTTCCACAAAAATGACGGTGAAAGATCAGAGAGTTACATAGGAGCTCTCGTTTTGCAGCAGCGGCAGCAACAGCAGCAGCATGGAGAGAAGGCCTTGGTGTGTGGCCGCAGGTAGCTTTGGGGTTAGAGCAGGCGATAAGGAAGCAGTGCTCTATCATGAAAGGAGCATGGGCTCTGGTTAAAGAGAGACCCGTATTTTTGACTCCTGCATTTGCAAATTACTCACTTTCTAACCTTTCCTGCTTTCATTTCTTCTGTAAAATAGGGCTAATTGTACTCGTCTCATGACTATTGTAAGGATTAAACAAGATACATTTCAAATGTCTACTGCTGTGCCTTGCATATTGTATACACACAAGAGTGATGACCGTACAGAAAGCATATTTGCAGAACTGGTGAGGGTAATGGTGATTCAAGTCCTTGCATGGATCTGAGCAGTAGCTACTAAGAACAGAGATAGCTAGGGTGGTGGAGATATGGTTGTAGAAAGCTCCTTGTTTTTAGGGATGCAGTTTTAGCAACTGCATTGTAAGAGGTAGTATTAGAACTCACTTTTCACTTTCAGATAATTCTCAAGAAATAATGGGTCTGATCAGAAAAACCATGGACTAGTGTGACAGGGCTAAGGGGATAAATAGTAATGTAAGATGACAACAGAACAGGCAGAACTGGATTATACTTGGACACAGAGAGCTCTCCAAGCTGATTTTGAGCTGTGTCATACTCATGGCAGAGGCAGTTTCGGTTCCCATGGGGTGCCCTCCATTCTTTCCTCTTGTCGACTTGCAAGACTGGTACCTCTTCTGAAAACCTCAGCCCTAACAGCTCCTGGAGTGTATCAGTGTAACAGGTAAGGAAACTGACAAAAGCAGGGGCAACAGCACACTCTCCCTGTTGAGCTCCTCAGCTGGTCAAGCAAAATCTGGCAGAGGCCACTCCCTGGCTTAGCTTTCTCACCCACAAACTAGGATCCCTGGTGCCTCTCCCAGGTCTTCTTTCTGCAACTTACTATAGCATCAGGAGGAGGGAGGGACTCAAGCCCTCTTTCTACAACTCAGTGCTCATATTTTTGGCTTGTTATCAAAGTGATGTATCCTAAGGGACAGTGAGTCACATCCTAAAAGTAGCTGGCATCCTTGGAGTCATCCCTGAATTTCTCTCTTCCAACAGGGTGGGAGAAGAGCACCTCTCCTTCCAAGGCATGGAGGCAAGAAAGGCTTCCCCTTCTTGATCCTCGATCACAGTTACAGCTTTATACACTACAGCTCAGGTGTGCAAAATCAGAAAGGAACTTCCTTTATTTTAATAATAGATCTTCTTCCGCTCTGAAGCCCCTATAGGAGTAGGAGGAAAAACAAAAACAAAAATAGACATGCCAGTAAAAGAGAACCCAGTCTCTTTCAGTTCAAAATCATTCCCTTTGAGCAAATATTCTGAAATGGTTTCCTACCATGTCTGTTTTTCTCTCTTCAAGAAGTTTCTTTCTACTCTTTTTCAATATGGCATTTGAAGTGGAGGGAAACAGAACCTTAGGTATCCTCACAGCAGAGAGGAGGAGTTCTTCAACTGCATGTGGTCCTCTGGGCCACTGTTCTCTGGGCCCCAGCTTCTGGCCTTATAGCCTTCCTTGCCTCAATGCAAAGCCTGGTGGACCTGGTGAACGTTCTCTCAGCCCATGGAATACAACCTCAGCCATCTCCTGCTGCTGACTCCAGGCACCTGAGATTTTACTGGTGATATTGGTCCTTTAAGACATGGCCACAAGCTCCGTAAGCCCCCCAGACCTGACCAGACCTCCCTGTGGCCCCTCCTACAGGGTTTCCCCATTTTGTGTCTCAGTGAGCACTTGCAGGCAGCCTTCTCAATTCTTAGTTCTTAGTTACCTTTGTCTCCCCTTTTATTGGTCCCTGAGAACTTTCCAGATCTTCTCTGTGCTCTGCTGAAGCCAAAAGAATAGTAGGGTGGGGTAAAATGAGGCTATCTCAGGGCCTGGCTATACAGGCACCCACTTCTGCCCATGCTGCCACATAGTACCTGTACCTGATGTACACAGCACCCTTTGGAAATACAGACTTTTCCCATAGGCTTGTGCTCTCCCAGGCTGTACCTGGGGAAGGAGAGCACCAGCCATGGCCTTATTAGGTTTCTCCAAAGCTTCCTTAAAGTCCCAGTGCATGCTCACACCCAGCCCAGCCTGGGGTTTTGATCTGGATGTTGAGGGAAATTCAGTACCCTGTGTCTCACTTGCTCATCCTCTCTTCAGCCCTCTTCTAAGCTCCTTCCTCCATGAAAGCACTTTCTATATTCCCCTTCTCTCCAACAAGAACTGTCCCCATATCCTTCTTCTTCCTTGTTGTATGCCATTTGTCTTCCCTTCCCCAGCTCCAAAATGGCAAAAGGATTATAGGAGCAGAAACAAGATTTCCAACCAAGGAAAAATATGGCAAAGAAAGAGACAGCCACCTAAAACTGTGTGTCCCAAATCTTGGTGAAAGCCAACAGAACAGGGAGTGACTCATCTGTCATTGAGATGTTATGAAACTAGGAGGATCCTTAGGAATGCTGTAGTCTAGGAAGAGATTCAGAGAAGTTAAGTGACTTGCTCAGGATTGGTGACTTGCCCAACTAATTACCCCTACTAATTAGTTGAATTGGGTCCAGCGTTCATTCCATTTTGCCACACGCTCTTCATATTGTCAGTTAATTGCAATTCTAAAACATCACAAATAAATACAAGGAGGGAATTGAGACAATAATAGCCAGAGGCACTCTGCTGTAGATGAGGAGGAATGTGTTAGTCAGAGTTCTCTAGCTCTTCAGAAAAACAAAACCAACAGGACGGATGTCTGCTATATATGTAAATATATGGAGACAGAGAGAGATGGGGGCGGCAGGGGGCAGGGCGGGTGGAGAGAGATTTTAAGGAATTGGCTCACATGATTGTGGAGACTTGGTGAGTCCAAAATTAGATGGGAGAGGTGGGAAGGCCAGCAGGTTGCAGATTCAGAGAGGAGATGCAGTTTTAGTCCAAAGACAGTCTGCTAGAAGAA